TTGGCACTCATTTTAAACCAATCTTAAATGTATAATATTCAATTATTACCCATAATTTTTTATCCGGTCGAATACCAAGTTGCTTAAATTCTTCCAAGTGGAAAAAGTTGTTACTTTCAAACTCAAATTACACTCAAAGGTTAAATTTTATAATAGTGTTCTACTATCCTAAACTATTTATCCGGTATAAAACCATATTTATTTTCTTTGTATTGGAACCAAGGACCCGAAACAATGACATTTTTGCGTTCCCGTTTCGTTCCAGTTCCGGTCAAAAATTGTCCCGTTCCGGTTTCGTTACAGCCTAAGGAATGTTCCTAGAAAAATATCTAAATATTTTTTTAAATCTACAATTTATGAAGCAATAATATATTTTCTAAAAGATTATCATTTATATTTCTTTGTGGTGTTAATATAAATTTGAATGCCGAATACAACGTTCAACACTTACCCAGCTACATGGAGCTGCTAATATGTTTTGGGCCAATTCATTTAGGATAGGATTGTTTTTTTTATTGGATTCCCAGTATTCTTTAAATTTTTTACTACTTGTTTGCTAATTGTTATCCCTTTGCTAATATTGTATAGTTTAATAGGATTAATGATTATTTTCTATTATTAAAAATTATAAAAGAAAAAAGGAACTATATATATGCGCCTGTTAGATGGAATGAAAAATTTTATTTTTTTAATTATAAAAATAAATAAGAAATTTATATATGTTTTTAGGAACGTTTCGGGACCGTTCTGAAAAGGTTTAGGAATACATGTTCCGGTTCCGTTCCGATCCCAATCAAAGTTCCATTCCCGGAACTTTTTATTCCATGTTATTGATTGGAACTAACAATTTTAACTACTCTCAAAATTTTTATAATGCTAGTCAACTACCCAGAACTTTTTATCTGATTAAATCCGTATTGTTAAAAAAAATTCAACATTTTAAAATAACAAAGACCACCTTGCGGCCAGAAAATTATAACCAAATAAATTATAAAGGTACTTTTCATATTTTGTTTATTATTATTATAAACTAAAATAATAAATTAAAAGAACTTTATATTTTTTAATTGAGTCATAGCTCCTATATATAAGATAAAACGACTTATCATTTTTTAATTCAGTCATATTTGACGCTTGCATTTGAATGAATAAATGAATCTTAATGAATGTATTCTAGTCTTTGTTTTAATGTATTAAAGTAAATCATATTAATTTTCAGTTGATTCTTCATATCTCATTTATCACATAATTAATAAAATGTTTAATAGCAACCATTATTCTGCTTTGAATAAATTATTACATTACAATTATTTCTGAATTTATAAAAAAAAATAGTATAATAATGGGTCAAATCCTATGCTAATCTAATCTATATAATAGCATCATATTTGCAATAAAATTTTTCCCTAATAGATTATTAAGAGATCGATATCTTTGCTCTCAAATTCCATCATTAGGACTCAACTAATCAAGAATATGACCAAACTTGCCAAAAAGTAATCAGACTTGTTGGCCATTTAATCCAACATAAACCAATGATTGTTATAACAAAAACTGGTAGAGGTGATCATACTGAACTAATGTAAAGTCAAATACTTATATTTGATATTAACTAAATAATATTGTTTTAATACCAAAATCAAAAAACCAATATTCATAAAATATTATTTCTTATAAATATAAATTTATGATTTATTTTGTGGGTCTGAATATATTGGAAATTATCTAGTTTAAACATATTGTGAGAAATTTAGGAGCAATATTATAAAAGAGCAACATCGGCCATATTTTGGTGTAATATTACTTTTAAATTAACTCGTTTTAAGGTATATAAGTAAAATTTTAATATTTACACATGATTTTCATAAATCACGGAAAAAATTTAACGCAACAAATAAGTTAAGTTCAATGTTAACCATTTACCGCTTTTCCTATAATAAAATTTCAAAATCTCTGAGCATTTTAATGAAAGTTGAAGACCAGATGAAAATAAGACCATAATATATTAAACCAAAAACCATACTAAATATCTATAATAAAAGCCATATTTTTTAAATCAGTTTTTTAAATTCTTTAGCTATACCCCAGTTTACTGATCATGATTTAAAAACTTGATAATAATTCAAAGTTATATTTTAAAAACTAAATCTAAAGAAGAACACAATTCACCGGTACCCAAAATATTAATTTCCTATAAATCGGTTTCAATAGAATATTTTCCAGCCAAATTCAGAAATATTCTCGCTAACAAAACTTAGCAACTAACATAAATAATATAAACATTATTCAATCGTGGAAAGAACTCTTAAATTTCTAATTATCTCTTACATCTTAGCAATAAGATTAAATCTTTCATGAACCTAATTATAATCGAATTTTGGCAATAAAAATAAAACATAGTTTTATGTTTGTCATTATTTTCTATCAGAAACTCTGATTATGAGAGCACAAAATACGTAAACAACATTTTTTATATTTTGTTCTCATTCTATTCGTACATTAAACAAAATAATAAAAAAATATCATTACCTATTTTTTATCATTCTTTCAAACAAATTATTTCCATTTAAAATGAGCATTTATTAAATAATATAATTTTTTACAATATAAACTTAATAATTATTCAATAAAAATCAGCTGAATGCTTATAAAGTTATTTTAAAATTTCCTAAATAAATTTATTTGCTTTAAATAATTGTGCATCATAGGTTTTCCATAAAAATAATCAAAATAATTTTAAAAAAGTTAATTTATAGCTAAATATTTAATATTTAATATATAAAAATTTTATTGTGGTTTTAATAATTAATGGACGTCATGGCTTTCATAGACGTGTTTTACATTGAATTTAAAAAAAATATATAAATATATCGGCGCTAATGCGATACTTAATTTTGAATCTTATTTATTGCAAGTTAATTTCTAATCGCGAACAATATAATAATGAATACAATTTTCAATGTAAAATTATTCCATAAAAATAAAAATTCCCTCTTTGTTTTCAAATTATTAATTAAATACAGTGTTATGCAGATTTAATTCAAAATATTTCTATATTAATTTATTTATTTGGAAATAATATTATTTGACTTGCATTAAAATAACATATTTATATATTCTTATCAATTTTTACAAGTTAAATCATTTTATTTACAAAGGAATTTAAAAATGTGAAAATGTTTTTCATTGATGTACACTTTAAATGTATGCATCGTATCTAGGTATTATTACATGTCTTTGCAATTATTTATATATTCCTTATTTAGTTAATTTTCTTTTTCACCATTCATTTAAAAAAATATTTACAAAAACTAAATATGTTCCCCAAGTTCCAACTAATTATGCACATGCTATTACATTTTTTAATTAATATTTTTTATAAAAATGAATATAAATTCCTTTAAATGTTTTCAAGATGGCATAGTGATGGTCTTTTTAAAAAAATATAATTATTTGATGTCATTCTTTCAAACCTCGTTCATTAAAAGAATTTGATTCTATAATACTTTCCAAATCTTTATATGCAATTGTATCCTCGCAAAAAATAAGAATATCTGAGTATTCTTTTCTATTACTTTTTATACAAAAATAAGTTTATAGATATTCTTTTTATTTAAATTTTTTTAGTGTATTTCGAGTATTTTATAATATATTTTTATGCAATACCATTGAAGCATAAAATTATTTTAAAAAAATTTATTTATTTACAAATTTTTAACAATTTTATATATTTCAGCTGATTTTTATTGAATAAATTATAAATAAAAAATTATATTTTATAATAAATGTTCGTTTTAAATAAAAATTTGTTCGGAAAAAATGTAAAAATAGGGGAAATGACATATTTTTTAATATTTTTTTCTATGATGTTCAAATTGAATGAAACCAAAATATAAAAATGTTGTTTATGTATTTTGCATTCTTATAATTAGAGTCCTCTGTTCTAAAGCAACGGTAAACCCTGTATATAAAAATTTAAAAAAATTAAATGACATGTCGGATCTTCATTTAACACTAACACCCTTGCTCAGAGTTTTGTTATCACAGTTATTTATTTATTTACTTTACGAAATTTAGTTATTTATTTGCAATTTAAAGTAGTTGCTTTAGTTTAATAAATATTTCAAATTTTTTTTTAAAATTACAAAAATAAACATGTTATTCTAAGTGACTAGCATAAACGTGGTTTCTATATGCACAAATCTACTTAAAAATAGTATTGTAAAAAGGGCTAAAATTTTAGAATTTTATAGATAAGCAGAATCAATGTCTATTTAATACTAATTCTAAACTTTATCCGATCTTATTGAAATTTTAAGACTTCATCAAAACATTTAGAACAAACTTTTCCGATTTATGCGAAATATTTATTCAAAGTTTTTGACACAATTTTGAATATTTATTTAAAAAACAATAAAACTAAATTAGATAAAATTGTATTTTATTGATTTCTTAAAATTTAAGGCCTAACGTAAAAATTTATGATTAAAATAAAATTAATACTAATAATAAATTTTATCTTTTTTTTATTAGCTTTATTGTATTTTCATTTTAAAAAACTGCAAAATTATAATCCTCCTTAAAAGTTTAAGTTTTTAAAAATGTGTCCATTGTTCACAACTATTTAAAAATAACTTACTTTTTAAATAAAAATGTTAAGCTTCCAATATTTGAGATCATAAATTATAAATGGAAATATTAATTTGATTTTGAATTTTAAATTAGCTGTTTTAAATAAAAAATATATTGTATATTTATGTATACAAAGAGTTGGATGGTAACAATAATGTTAGTTAATAAAATTATAACTTCCAGTTGTAAAATATTTAAAAAAAGTAATAATAAGACATCATTCTTTGTGAATAAAGGGTATGTTAAGCATTTTAAATAAATCTTTCGCATTATTATTTTTAAGTTTGTTTATTACTTTACATTAACTTATTCCTTCACTGACTAACTGTTATATTTAAAATATTTGAAAAATATATATTCTAATAAACTTATGAAAGACATATTAAGAATATATCCCTTGAAAAGCTCGGCTCCATCCATTTTTTTCAATTCCTTGCAAGCTCCCCTCTTTCTACGACATCTATCTTGTTGAAATTTGTGCAGTGCGTGAGCCATGGCATAAACAGCATCAATAATAAATTGAGTTTTTCCTTCTTGCATATAATTGGAGTCATCGATGACTTGATTCCAATCACAAATTTTTCTCATTCGAATATTTTTAACAGTCGATTCTGTGTTTTGAAATAATCCTACACTTGGAATATTAGTTAGAGCTCTTTTTATTTTTTGCAATACACCTTTAAATTTTTGTATACATAGAAATCGCTTAGGAAATTTATGACATTCGGATAATATATTTATTAATGGTAAATGCATTTTTGAGGAATCGATATTGCCTGATATGTATGATTGTCTCATATTAGAGCCCTCTTTTTTTAAATCTTTGATATTTAGAAGATATAGTTGCGATTTGTAAAAGCTCAGCAAAGAATTTTGAATAGGTTTACTCTCGAAATTGCTCTTATTTGAAGTTTTATTCAAAAAATTATATCTAGATAATAACGCAAATGAATGCTTCACATTTAGCTTATCATTGTAAAGGATCTCTCTTTTTATCTTTGTTTGATTAATACTATAATAGGAATTTTTAAGATCTAAATCACAATTAAACTGTTGCTCCCAAAATTCAATTAGCCAAGGTGCCCCACTTCTCCATATTTTATCAACAGCTTTGAAGTTAGATGGGTGTAGTCTTTTAAAATAAGTATCAAACCCTGGAATTCGGTTTGATTGTAGTTCTATAGTTATAGCCCCATGAGCAACCTCCTCCCTGCCTCTAACAACCAATTCTTCACGTCCCCATCCATCTCCGGATATCAAAACAAAATCGTTTTTAAGCTGAGATCTTTTCATGGCCTTTAAAAAATCTGCCGCATCTTCAATTTTTAAGAATAGAATTATAACTTTAGCGTTGGGCTTCTCGTTTAAGCTTTTGAGAATGATATCAAAATCGATTGGTTTTGCATTCATGGGTATTTTGACCGGTACGGCTACACATATGTTTTTCTTTTTTGCTTCAGCATTAAATGAATCTATACCTGATTCCCCATAATCTCCCTGACTAGCGACAGTCGAAACATACGTCCAGCCTAACATGACGGATATATCAACCATAGCCCGAGCCTGATATTGATCGGGAGGTACTGTTCTAGCAAAATAATCATAACGAGATTTATCACTCAGTACACTGCTCGTCGAGGCATAACTTATTTGGGGAATTTTAAAGAGCCTCAACAAATTCGCCACTTGAATGCTAACCCCACTATACGAGCCCCCAATGACACCCAGCACTGGCGTTGGTAATTTTTTATATCTGGGTGCCGATCCATCAGTGCATATCAAATTTCCACCTACTAGGGAGTTAGCTTCGTCGCCTTCCTCTCCAAATTCATCCTCAGAAGTAAATCGGGAATCATTATGGCGCTCACTCATGTTACTAATTATGATTTTACTTGAAATAATATCCTTTCCAGAACCTGGTAAATTGTGTAACGACTGTTTATCAATCTGGATATTGCTAGTATTTGTTGATGACACGTTTTTACTTTTATCTAGATGTTGTCTGCCTACCTCAGCTGCCTGAGTCTCTAATAAGCTCATTTTGACCCGTACAAATTCGAGAGATTGATTCAAGGCATAATTCTCTCTGGCGCAGGTATCGAGTATGTTGACGCCCAATTTAATGCCAGGCAATAGGTTTGTGTCATTATTAATCAATTCTACTGCATAGAGCATGGCCATAAACCTTTGTATCCCCCTTTCTACATTTATGTTTCCACAGGGAGCCTCATCGTTGCCTTTGAGATGAATTGGGAAAAGTCCTCCAAGGATAATGTCACCTGGATATTTTAAGGCAACGGCTTCCGCCATAAATATATTGAAATACAACATCTTTTCATTTATGTCACGAAGTAAACTAATGAATCTGTCTAAGTATTGATAAACTGTTGACATAGAATTCGACATAGGACCAGGAAGTATAGCGAAAAATATCATAATTGTCATAATTAACATTATAAATATTATAGTATTGAAAATAAGGAGATAAGAAATACGATTTTTGTAAACGCGTTCCCTAAAAGGAATATTATAAAAACAAGTCATATTTGCTGGGCATCTATTAATAAAATTAGTCCATAACTAGATTTAGTGGGGCATCTAAGATCTGAAATAAATTTTAAATCATATATTAATATAGTTATTAAATCTTCCCAAAAAGTGAGGTTTATTAAAAGACATTTAGTAATAATCTAATTTTTCTACAGTTTAAAAAAAATATAATCCTAAAAATATGCCTACATATAACTATATATAACTAAATAATAAATACATTTTCAATTTTATTATCATTTATAATGAGACCTAAGAATTATTTGTTTACCACACAAAAAAATTACATAAAAATTTTTTAAAAAATTGAAATATAATTTTTTTACATATTTTTTTACATATTTTTTTAATAAATTTGATTGATTAAAATGTTATACAAAACAATAATAATTGTAATTTTAGATGATTCATGAATAGATAATTTAAGTGCATATTAAATTTATAGTTATTATTGATGAACTTAATTACCTGTCTAATTGGATTCATTTAGCATTCAATTAAATGTTAGTTTTATCCGACAATATAAAGATATTTTGTCCAAACCTGAAAATTCATTATTTCATAATATTATGTAAATGAAATTTTTACGTTTTGTTACACTTGTAAATGTTTTATAAATGCAAATTTTTTTCGGAAATTTTTAACTTTTATTTTTTTAATAATAATAGAATCTGAATGAAAATAAAATGAGAAATCAATAAGGATAAAATTATATAAAAATTTGCTTTGCATAAAATTGAGAAGAAATAACATTAAGATATAATATATAGATGTAAAATATTAATAACGTAATAAATACACTAGTTCATGAAAAGGGAATTTTTTTCTAATTCATAGACTAAAAAAGATAAGTTCATATTAAAATCTATATTAAAAAAATTAAATTGTGAGGTTTACGAAAAAAATTTCTTTATAGATCAATATAAAATGTATTCGAGTTTTTTATACATCATTCTTTCAAATTAGTCTTTCTTACTGCCTATTATAATGAACCAATTATTCAAGGTCCAAAGTTCTGTTAAGAATGATGAAAACCTATCTAATTAGTTATTTTTTATACTTTTTAAAGAATTTTATAACAGTTTTAATTTTTAAATTTACATTTCGCTCAGTATGCAACATAATAGGGCCCCACCGATCTAAATCTAAAACCGAACCTAACCGGGATTTATCAATTTTAAAAAATAATTAGAAAAAAAATTTTGAAAAAGTCTGCTGCCATATTTTTAAGATGATTAAATTTTAAAACTAATTCATATATGCAAAATGGACTTTTGAGATGGATGTATTTAGTTAAAATAATTTCAATTTCAAAATAAATTAATTTTATATATTGGTTATGGTACAATTCTATTTTTTGAATTAAGTTCATTTTTTATTTTTTTAAAAAAAAGTTAAGTTTCTAATGTTTAAAAAAATTTACTATCTGTATATTTATACCAATATTTTGTAATCAATCCAGACAATTTTATTATGTCTCTTCATAATTTAAAGATTCCTAAATTTTATTTATATTTAAAAAAATCATTGAATATTATTTCAAAAAAATTAACGGCTTAATTCCTAACGGTTACTCTATTCTTTATTTAATGGCTATAAGAATTTATTATAAAAATAAGAGCTTTAAATACAGTCATGTATAAGAATACTTTGTTTTTAAATAGGAAAAATCGAAGTTTAGATATTATATATACTTATAGATTATTTAAGATTAAGATGGATTAGAAGAAGAAAAAATTAAATAGCAATATAATGTTGATATTATACTTAAGTTAATATATTTTACATATTCTACTATTAGTTTTCACATGACCTATATTTTAGATAATATATATTATATTCCATTTATAAGGATATTAGAGTATGACAGTTTTTGATTATTCATATAGTAAAATATTTAATTTTAAAAGTCTATTATATATATAGGCAACCTTCGATTATCTTTAGAATATTCGCGAAAAGAACTGATTTGGGCATCATGATTCATGAGCCATGAGCGACAAAAATATTTTGCTAAAATTTTTACAAATCTAAAATAAATTGATAAACAAGGCAGAACAAATTCAATAAAGTCGTAAAACTTAAGATGCTCTTCTATCAGCTAAGTAATATTTTGCCTGGGGAAAATAATTGTGTTCCAAATTGGAGTAAGCTTGAGGTTATAATATTTGTATACAATTTTACTTTTTTAACATAATATTAATTTATTAATGTTTAAACTTACTTATTAACAATGTATAATTAATAGAAGTCTCATAAACTATACATTAATTTAATAGGAAAAAATTGGAAGATATTATACAACACTAAGAGATCTTATGTTTTAAAAAGAATCTTTAAAATATTGACTAAGTAAAGTTGTTTAAATTAACAAATAAAAACTGAATCTTGATGCTCAAATTAGAAGTTTCTATATAACATATCATTTACACTATTCTATAGAGTAATAATATATATGTTACATATATGTAGAATCTTTAATATATAAAAATAATACAATGTTGAAAAAAAGGCAACTTAATATGATTTATAATATATTATTATATGTATTTATCATTATTTATTTTATAAATTAAATTCAATCTATTCGTAATGTAACAGTAATTTTTCAATAATAGAAAACAATATAAGCTAAGGAGTACTATTTTAGTGAGGGAAAAGATATCAAAGATTAAATATTATATGAATTTGGCGGTTCCTAAGTTCGTTTTATTTTTAAAAACGTATTTCTGTTTACACCAGTTTATTCAGAATATGAACTAGAACACTTTTGTTTGCTATAACTGTGTACTAGGTAATTTTTTGAAAAAGCTTAATAACCATGCAAAACTCTTTATTTAATGTGCCTTATTTTTCTTAATATATGTTTATAAAAATAGAGTGAAAATTGGGCAGTAAATAGCAGAGTTGTTTGGTAGCTATAGCTAATAGCGGCTACTTTTTTGTAATTATTTAATTTTTTAGCGCGCTACTTTTTTTGAAAGTAGCTAAGTAGCTGCTACTTCGCTACTTTTAAAAAATATAATGAAGGTAAGTATAAACATGAAAATTTAAATATAATATCATGATTATAATTTTTATGATTTATTATTTAATTTTGAAATTAAAATATAACTTCAATTTGTAATTTATATTTTCATTTGTGTTATAAACCTAAATCATGGGTTAATAATTTAAAATGTCATCGCCTATGGATATCCAAATCGTTGTAAGTGATTCAAACAATGATATTAATGAAATGGAGTTACCATGGGAAGAAAATGTTCTTAATAGCTATAAAACAAATTTCCCATTCCCTAGATTTGAAATTTTTTTAAATAAATATATAACCAAAACTGGTTTCAAATTTATTTGTTTAAAATGTAAAAAAAAATATTTCCCCAAATCAATCCTGTAGCTATAACCTCAAGAAACACCTAAAGGTAAATTGTCATTTTTACATTCTAATAATATTTATTTTATAAGTTCATGAGTTTTAAGGAAATGGAGAAACATCTAAATAATTTTATAGGCGACTCTACATCCAAAAAGACTAATTCAATTCAAACCAAATTAATTAATAATGCAAATGACAATCAGAAATCGGCTGATAAAGTTATTGTTGATTTTATAATTTATACAGTTCAGCCAATGTCCTTAGTTGATAATCCATCATTTACCATGATGATTAAAACTCTATCCCCCTGTTACAACAATTTTATGCCGCCAGACACTAATGAATAAAATAGCAGATAACTTTAAAATGATGAAAGATGCTCTAATAGTTGAGTTATCAGAGATATCATATATATGAACCACGGGAGATAGTTGAAAACATAACAGAAGGTAAAAACTTATTTATATTTATAAATTGATCTGATTAAATATTTTTGAGCTTAATTGGGAATCACAGGCCATTGATTAGACCCTAGAACTTTAAAAAGAAGATCTGTGGCATTAGCCCTCAAAATGATAATAGGATGCCAGACATACGATGTACTTGCAAATAAAATTATTGATAATCTATCTTTTTTTTAAAAAAATAATTTTATTAAAACTTTTATTAATATATGTATATAAGATTAAATACGACCTTACCCTCAAGTGCTAGTGTCGAGAGATTATTTAATCAGGCAAAACTTATACTTTCTGATCGTCGCTTTAGACTTGGGGATGATAATATTGAAATGATTTTATTATTAAAATGCAACAATTTACCATAAATATTTATTTTTATTACATAAATTTTTTTATAATTAAAACTAACTATATTTTAATATTTATAAATGTTGATTTTTATATACTATACAATAACATTATAAGCAAAAAATAAAAAATTTGTTTGTAAATTTTTTTTATAAAAAGTAGCTAAAGCTACTTTAAATAAATAGTAGCTAATAACGAGCTACTTTTTTTGACAAATAGCGATCGCGGTAGCGCGCTACTTTTTTTAACAAATTACGATAGCGGTAGCGCGCTACTTTTAAAAGTAGCGTTTAACAACTCTGGTAAGTATGTATTTAAAAGAATTATAATGGTAATGATCTGTGTAGAAATAAGTGCAATCTTTGAAATAATTTATTTAAGGAAAGAGAAAAAAAATGGTCTGATGACTTTCTATAAACTGACTTTTAAAAAATAGTTTTAAATTTAAGCTTTTATAAATATTCTTATATCCAATAAAGAGCGCAGGACTTGTTTACATAGCATTTTGATTATTTCTTAGGCCGAAATTTATTTGCTATTCGAAAGTTCAGGTCTCTTTTATAAAGTTAATTTTGATCAACTAGCATAAAAATTATACATATTTTAATTTAAAAAATTACCATATCAGTTGGCTGACATTGTAAGAATTCCATATTTAAGAATTATTTTGCTTGTTTAGTCTATGCCCATTAAATTTTATAATTATCTTAAAATATTTCATTAAATACAATATGATTGTTAAT